GTCCCAGTATTCCATATCATCTCATAAAATCTGTTGGCTCCCCCGAATCTCCTAGGGATGGTGAATTGAGACAGACAAGCAAGTCTCTTCTGTCTTCCTCGACGCCAGCTTTGTTTTATTCCACCAAATGGTTTCCTGAGTTTTGTTTGAGCATCAAATAATACAAAGGTCAATTCTGGTAATAATAATAGACAACAAACATTGCCTAAGTCCTCTTCATATTTGTTTTGCAAAATTTAAGCGTAGGTAGAGAAATTGAGCAATTTTTTTTTTTTTTTTGCTAAGAGTTTCTGTCCAAAGTTTATCAGAAACAAACCTACTTTCAGTATTTTAACCCWGCGTGACCATGATGGTTAAATTTTGACCCTTGAAATCTATATATCTGTAACAGATACCATTCTCATGAAAGATGATACGAATAACAATAATGTTGGTTATAAACATATCCTATTTTGATATTGAAGGTTTCCTTTGCATCACATGTGATCTAAGTACTTTATTTCTGTGAAATTATTTAATCCGATTAGTACCTTAATATAGTAAATTATTAATACAGAATGAATTATTCTATTATCTTTACACTATACAGTTAAATATAAATTCTATGTGTCCCGTAAAATAATGAATAACCTTTTACAACCCAGGTCATAAAGAAACAGTCTGTTGGGAAAGTACACTGAAATCATCCCCTGATGGCCTCAGAGGGTAGAGTCAACCAATTACACAACTGACTCAGAATGAGGGGAAAAGTCATTGGCAAGGGTAAAGTCTATTGAAAAGTTTTTTGTTTGTTTGTACTGAGGATCAAAATTAGGGGCCCTCAACCTCTGAGCCACATCCCCAGCCCTATTTTGTATTTTATTTGAGACATGGTCTCACTGAGATGCTTAGTTYCTCTCTATTGCTGAGGCTGGCTTTAAACTCCAGATCCTCCTGCCTCAGCCTCCAGAGCTGCTGGGATCACAGGCACGTGCTGCAGAAGTTATTTTATGTATGCTTCATATTTAGTGCTTTCTACAAGTCTTAAAATAAGTTCTTTCCAAATATTTTGAGAATTTAAAATACAKAATAAACAATGGACTACTGAGGTTTCCAAAGTAGTTCCTCAGATGTTAGACAATGGGTTTACAACATATAAAAGAGACAGAAAATGACAAAAAGTTTTTCTTTTAAATATTGTATTAAGTAGGAGGCATCAGCCTACATACTTTTTGTATAATAACTTATTTATCCTCACAAGTTCATGAAGTAGATTTATCCTATCCATTTAACAGATGAGGAATTTAGGAATAAGACTTGAAGTAATTTTCTCACAGTTCTTCAGTTCACACTGGCAGATTTAGAATTTAAGCTCAGATAGCCTGGTGGTGATATGTGTATGAACCTAACCACTGGATCAAAAGCCCTTTATAACTTTTGGAAGGAAATGTCTCTCTTGGAAACTTTAGCATGGAAATCAATGGGGATAGATACTGGAAAATAAAGCCAAGATGTTTAGTATTTCATTCAAAAGAATTAAATGATGTGGAAATTTTTCAGTTAACAATTATTTATAGAACACTTACTTTGTACAAGTTACTGGGCTAAGAACTGAGAACATGGGAGATTTTTTTCCATTAAGAAGTGTCCAACAAATGTATTTTAGGACATGTTTATGTTTTTAGCAATATAATCTCACTTTTAATAATGTATTTTAACTAATTTTTTACATTTTATGAAAAGTAACACATATTGGTATGCTAAAATTATTGCCCAAATTACCATATACACACTTGCTTATTCATTATAACAACTCTCAGTAAAGTGAAACACAATTAGAGTTGTCCAAAGTTCCAAAGCTTCATAAGTAATAGAGGTAGCATTCAAACCCAAGCAGTGGAAATCCACATTCTTTWCTCTGTACTCAATCTGTGCTCCAAGCTAAACTCTATAATCACTAGTGTGGAATTTGGCAACTTAGTGACTAAGAGAGTTTAACAAAGGATGAGCATAATTGTGTTGAAAGTGAGAAAGGACATAAATAGAATTCTCTATGAGGGCTTTCAGAAGATAGACACAGAGAGAGAATACTTCTTAATTCCATCTGTGAGGTTAACATTACCCTAATAGTAAAGCCAGATAAAGGCATTACAAGAAAAGAAGACTACAAACCAGTATGTCTCATGACATATAGATACAAAACCTCAATGACCAAAGTAAGTGTGYGGAAAGAATTATACACCACAGTCAAGTGGGATTTACCTTAGTAATACAAGGCTGGTTTAACATTCAAAAACCAGTTAATGGAACCTATGATATCAGTTGAGTAAAAACAAAATCACTTAATCATACCAATGCAAAGCATTTGACAAAACCCAACACCATGATTAAATAAAAGAAGGTCAGGAAACTAAAAATAGAGAGACTTTCTCACTTTGACCAAGAATATGTAAAAAAACAAAAGAAATAAAAACCTATAGCTAACATTATATTTCATAGTGAAAAGCTTGAAACTATCCCCTAATATCAGGAACTCTTAAATGTTTCTGGGCATTTGGGGGAGATTTTGTATCACTGCTGTACTTCCCTTGACACAAAGCAGAAGTCTGTGAAGTACATTCCATGCCATAGAAGATGTTTTAAAGAAATATCTTAACATGCATGTTTTTAAGAAAATGTGCCACAAACTATTAAGACTACATATGATGTTTTAAAAATATGACAAAAATCTGTATTCAAATAGATTAATTCATTTACTAGACATTTATGGAGCCCTTACCATCTACCAGGGACTACACAAAGCACTAAGAACATAATGAAGGAAAAGGCACAGTGGCTCTTCCTGCATGTAGCTGCATTCTGATTGGGAAATGAGAAAATTGATTAAGAGAAACAATATAAAAAAAAAGATTTAGACTGGGGAAGTAGCACAGGGATGGGAAAAAAAAAAAGATTTACATTGGGGAAGTAACATAGAGGTCATAAAGCACATGGGTAGAAACTGTTGATTAAACAAAGAACAAGGAAGAGCAGAACAAAACTACTTCTCTATATTTGCAACTCTGTTTTCCACAACTAGAGTTGATCCCGAAGTCTTTGGAACCATAGTGACTAATGGGGCTTTAAAACAATGACTTTGGGGTAGCCATGACCTGATTACTTTAAGAATTATAAAAACATCAATAGAAAATAGACGTGATAGTTCAGTGGAGTTTCTGGCTTAACAAGTTGCTTCTTCTGAGACCCTTCCAGAAGCTAGGGTTCTATACATGAGCAGAAAATTAACTAGAGATAGAATTTCTTTGGTTGATTTTTTTGTGTGTGTCAAATTTAGAAGATTATGAAGGGAATGACTGAGAGAAGAAGATGGGAAAAAAACCAGTGGCATTATATGGACTTGATTATAATTACAAATTTAAATTGTATACTAAGTGCAAAATAGGAACCTTTGAAAAGTTTTATGCAGAGAATGACCTGATTGTATGTTGGATTAGAATATTAGTTCAGTTGCAATGTAAAGAATAAATCAGAATGGATTTAATGTGGGAAAATGGGTGAATCCCAAGTACCTGAGACTGTGTCTGTAATATGTTGTAAAGCATTTACTTGTGCAGGCTAGTTCCTGTAAAGAAGAATTCCCCACATGTGCTTTGAATGATTAATTCAACTAGTGGTGAATTCCCCGAACTAATAAAATTTTATTTGAATAGCACACGGACTTCCTGTTGCTTACTTATAGCAGGATCATTTTGAAGGTTGAACTTTTGGTGTTAGTTTTACTTTTATTTCCACTGAGCAATAATGAAAGAACAGTTTTATCAAAAAGTTAACATAAGTCAGGTATACAGATTAGCAAGAAAGTTCCATGCACAATTTTATTTGAGTCTTACAATTCACCAGTGGCGCTGAAATTAGTATATTGAGTTTTCATATGAAGAAACTCTGGTAGAGGGCTACACAACTTATCAAGATCATAGGTGGCAAATAATGTTTAGAAACTAGTTTTTAAAAGAATACTAGGTCAGTAAGTGTCATAATTTTACTCAAATTTCATTTGTGAGTTAGTCCCACACTGTTTATCAATATAAAATCTGCTTATCTTTTCTTTCTTATTTTTTTTGAAAATTAACTTTATTTTTGTGAGAAAAATACCTGAAACTAAGCCAATAAGACAGAATCTCATAGTCATGAAGACACTGCTTCATTCCACAGGTATGTTTTGAACACATCTGTATTTACATGCTGTGCTAGTCTCTGGGGATAGAGAAGTACATTATGCATTAGATTATGAAACCCGAAATAAAATAAATTGTAAACCAATTAAGCCAATAAATCTTTATTAGAGCTACAGTGAAAGAATTACATGAATATAGCATATTTGGTTAATTTCATTCCCTAGTCCTTCCCCACACCCTCCCCTCACCCCCTCAATCCTCTTCCTTTATTTGTCTCACTTCTATTTTTATGAGATCCTGTTTTTCTTTAACTCTTTTTCCCTTTAGCTTCTATATAGAGAAATTTAAATTTAAAAAGAATTATAAGGAGAAATCAACATATCAATAAAGTAGGAAAGATGGAAGGGATGAATTGTAACTTGTTATTTCGTCCTTTTTGGGACTCATCAGTACAGTGTAGCATATTTTGTTTTCAAAACTGAATAATAAATAAACCATTTTGAAATTAGGTATCCAGTGAATGAAGAGCTCAAGTAATTGTCTGTCGTTTGATTTTAAATTCAACCAAGATTTTCAATTCAAGGGTAAAATAAAATGACATTTGTTTATAAATATAGTATAGCATTTATTTATTATGCCAATATGAACATTGAAAATTAAAGTGTAAAAAACACTTTGTCACTGCTTGTAATATTTTAGAATATATAATAAATATTAATTTTAGTACTTATTAAATTTTCATTTAGGGCTGGGGATATAGCTCAGTTGGTAGAGTGCTTGCCTTACATGCACAAGGCCCTGGGTTCACTCCCCAATCCACACACAAAAAAAATAATAATGATTTATTATTAAGAAAATTTTGAATGGATTTAAGAAAATGTTAAAGGTCTCAAGCCAATTATAATTTTTCATTGACTRTTAAATAATTTGCATAATTTCAGTTGTCTACTCATTTTTATTGTCACATGCATTCAAAGCAAGTAGTGACTATATAAGAAAAGTTTAATATTAGTTCATAGAAGTAGAGTTCACTGATTTTGATTATATTCCAGGTTCAAAATATAAGTTATGAACTCATACCAAAACACCTATCTAATTTAGAATCATACCCTTCCAAATCCCTGTACTATGACAGGGCAAGTATAATTTGCCACTTCGTTGTTGTCAATAAATTTGCGAATGCATGTTCCTAGTGCTAAGTAAAAGCAAAAATGGAGCAGCAACTGTATATAACAAGTTACAAAATATCCCTCCATCCTGCTTTATTTTAAAGAACTTGACATGATTTGGCACTTGTGGAAATAGCTGTTTGGCTTGCTACAAATCCACTTCCTATCTGTGTAGTGCCTGGCACTGCTGATTCCATTATCATTCAGGTAGGCACATTCGCCATCTCCTCTGATGGAAAACCTAAAACCAGACACAAAAGTATTAAATATTCATAGGTTGGACATTCTCATTTTCTTCTCCACTACACTGTCCAGCATCAACCCTCCATGTTTTTGAATGTGAACAAGAGAAATGTGTCAGTCATTGGTAGTTTACATTATTTCTGCATTTAGTTTCCTTTACATTCTCAGGGTCTTTGCTTGAGTAACACAAGTTTATCATTTATCTATTATCAAACCCACTTATGTTATTGATTAGGTATTTAACTGATGCTTGCCRCTGTCTCCAAACTTTTGTCACTGGTGGACTTCCCTAAAGTTTATTTTTTTGTCTTTTCTCCAATTGTTTCATAAATGGATGAAATTTTTAAAAAATAACTTAGTACTAAATTCCTAAGAGAATTTAATTTTTTTTTGATGAAAGTGATCATGCCCCTATATTTTACCCATTCCAATGTAATGATTACTTTCAAAGCACCACCATTGAAATGTTCATAGTTCAAACAACAAATTAAAGGAGGTAGGACTTCTTATTGTTTCAGAGGTTTCAGTCCATGGTCAACTAGGTCTGTTGCTTTGGGCCTGATGTGAGGAAGAGCATTATGGTAGAAGGGCATGGCAGAGGTAAATTGCTCAGCTCATGAYACTCAGGGAGCAGAGGCAGGCATAGGGGAAGGGGCCAAGAACTAGGTAGAGTCCCCAAGGGCACACCCCCAAGTGTGTGTCATATATACAACTTTGGGAAAGTCGCAGCCTAGGCCTGTCATTCCAGCACAGTGCTTTTAATGCCCACTTTTAATATACAACACATGCCATTGTGGATGAGAAATTATCTGATTACTGTATTTCCGATTAGAAGGAGAACAGTGTATCCAGTGTTTCAGGTTAGTATGTCAATGTATCTACTTCCTCTAGCCATGTCCCACCTGCCTGCAGTTACCAAGTATCCATTAAAATTATTAATCCATCAAGTGGATTTATGCACTGATTTCCTTCTGATAATAAAACATTAGAAGATATTCCCCATGTTTCTCTGGAAACTTTGCTCTTATGAATGGATGCAGCAGTATAAAGAGTGGATGTATGAGTCTTACAGACATCAGTCCTTCAATAGCTTCCTAGGATAGATATTACAGCCCTCTCTGTTTATCAGCAAAGTTCTAAATCAGTGCRTGAGAAAGCAAGAACTATGTGGGATGCTGTCATCCTGCTAAAGATGTCAAGTGAAATCACAGTTAGGGATGTTCTTTCCAAAGAACAGGTACTCAATGGAAGAATATAAAAATATTAACATTTTTAGGGAGTGTGGAATTTAATGGGGATTGAATCTTGGGCCTTGAGTATACTCAGGACACTGTCTACTGCTGAGTCCAGGATTCAAATTTCTTATCTGTTAGTACAATTCACTTTCCTTGTGAATACCTTTCTCATCCCATTCACAAGTTACACATATAACCACACATGAATTCAATGGAAGAAAAAGAAATCTGAAAACTTACAAAGCTTTATATTCAGTGTTGTCTGTCCACCTCCAAATGTGATRTGATGATTCTCTGTTAAGGCCAATCCAATGATCCGAAAGCCCTTTATATCTTTTCAGAAAATTCTGTTATAAAACACAGAAAGTGAAAACATGTTTCTGTTTTTCAGAAAGATCTTGATTTTATCTTCTCTAGAGACTTCTATTTTAGAGGTGGCAGCATGATATAATTGAGAAACATAGACTTCAAAGTTAGACCAGTCCTCAATTCTCAGTTAAGTCATCTAATATCTGTGATCCTATATTTCTTCATAAATGACCATATGTTCAAATTTGGGGAAGTCACAGCCTATGGCTGTCATTCCAGCACAATGTTTTTAGTGCCCACCTTCAATATCCAACAATATGTCAAYGAAGATGACAAGTTATCTGGTTAGCATACTTTTGAGTAAAAGAACAGTATATCTAATCTTGCAGGTTAGTATATCAATGTATCTGAAATGACTTGCAGAGTTCCAGGCCAAGAATATATCCTCAAGAAATGGCATACACTAATATGTATCTCATGCCCCAAGTTCTGTCTGAGATGGGATCCTTTCTCATATTTCAGCTTTAACTTTATGCAGTCTAAACCACTCAGAGAGCAAAGAATTCTAAAGAAAAAAGTGACCCAAAAACTTTTCTTACCAGTTCCTCTTGGCTTTCAAACTGAGCAAGATTGGATGCTAAGGAAGCACAAAAAGTCTGGCTGAATGTCCAATTCCCTACGTCTTCAGAAAAATAAAAACACTTGTTTCCAAATCCAATCCAATCTTTTGGGCAGGCAGCAATAATAAGGTTCTCTACGATTGGCTCTGTCTTTTTTGCTAAAATTGAGACAACCAAAAGGAATGACAATAAGTCAACTTTTTCATCTCTTTTATTCACTTTTTTTTTCTGTCTACAATCCCATGGTCTATTTTGAAGTATGCATATGGATTGTTGCTTTTCTGACTTATCATCAAGTCTTATCCCAAGTGTAATCATTATCTGTCCAGTGACCTTCAAGTTGGGAATCTGCTCCCATTTCTGGGGTCATCCTCCCTGCTTTTTACAACAGAAAGGGAAATTCCTTCCTTGTCCTGGATTTTACTATTATGCATTTCTTCAGGGATGCAAAGCTTCCAGTACACAAAGTTTGACACTGTTCAAAATACTGTTTCTAATACCCAAAGTACAGTCTAGGTTTTCCTAAATTTTCTGATTGTGTGTGTGTGTGTGTGTGTGTGTGTGTGTGTGTTCTGTTAAATGTATGTAAATGTGGTACGCCACCCATGAAGCTACTTGAGTGGTCTTTTACTTGGTACCAAGCCATGGGGGACCTAGGTCTGCCCTTGGGAATAATCCTTGCATTCTAATGTGTAGACTCCAGATCTCTGCCCTCCCTCGACTGCCGCTGGTAGCTCCAGAATTAGGCACAACCCATTGGGGCTGGACAGCCCACTTCATACCTTATTTGGCAGAAGAACATTCTATGGAAAAAACCTTTGATGTTTACCCCATACAAATAAACCAAACACAGGCTCTCAGCTCTTGCTCTGTCTGTTCCCAGTGTGGAAACTCTGCCCTTAATGTCAAGAAGCCATCCCACCCCCCGCTTTCTAAAATTACTTTCTGTGTATTGTGTTTCTTTCCACCGCCTTCTTTTCTTAGCTTTATGCCCCAGCCAGCCCACTCCATGCAGAGGAAACCCAAATTCCACTGCTTGTGCAGGTAAAAATATTTTGGCCATTGGCCATTGTTAGATGTCTTGAAACCAACAAGATTTCAGAGTATATCTTATTGGAGGAACAGATACTTTCATTCCATAGCTCTACCTTTTCCCTCCCTTAATGTCTAAAAATCATGCATTGCTTTTTGGAATGTTTAGTGAAAACAAAACAAAAAGAGATCAGGTAAGAGCTATCAAATATCAAAACTTATTTTCTCTTAGATTTAATAGTAGGCAATTCTTTACAATTATTCTTAATTYTTATCCCTAGAATGAGTCACTAGGTAATAGGATAAAAGCAAATAGCTGTAAGATCAGTATCACTGATATATTTTAATATAACAATTATTTTTCAGAGACTGTTAAGTATTTTAGGTGACAATAAATAAAACTTTTGGCAAAACATTTACCTGACTTTTTTAGACTTTTGCATTATTAATTGAGCTACTTAAGGCTAATTTAATGAAATAATATGTTTTTTCATATTAAATAGTTTTATGAAATTTTTACTCCAATGATAGTAAATTCTCTTCTTATTTCTTCATATAAAATGTTTAATATATGTTTTTATTAACAAAAACTAAAATTATATGCTAACTGCTATTCCAATTAAATCTTGGGGGAGGGTTTAGTAGATTAGACAACTCTCATGTTCATAGAAAAAAAAATTTCATCAGAGGATTAGTTTTCTTAATGGAAAAGTCTCTGAGGTATTATACATCATTTAACTTAATTAATATGGTGGGCAAATATCAGAATTAAGTAGACTATGTGCAGGTATTTAGAGAAGAATTAGTATACTTTTTATGTCATATTCCCCAACTAATACATATTCATATTTTGAGCTATACATAATATTACATTATGGCAAATTATTGAGAGCAGCATATGAATTAAATCACAATTTTTTTAATATATAAATTATTTTCTTTTGATAATTATCAAAATTTATATTAAATGGTTATTAAAGCTATTATTCTAAATAATCTGGAAAATTTATTTTAAGAAAGGCTTATCATATGATTTTTTTTTTTTTTTTTTTGGTAGTGGGGATTGAACTCAGGGGCACTTGACCACTGAACYTCATCCCCAGCCCTATTTTGTATTTTATTTAGAGACAGGGTCTCACAGAGTTGCTTAGTACCTTGCTGTTGTTGAGGCTGGCTTTGAACTCAAAATTCTCTTGTCTCAGCCTCCCGAGCCTCTGAGATTACAGGCATGAGCCACCTCACCCGGTAATTTATCATATGATTTTTTAAAAATGAAATTTCAATGTATATATACATATTAAGTGAATGAAAAATATTAAACATGAAGAAATAAACTTTTAAAAATACAAAGACATTCTCACATTATGATAAAATTCTAGAAGAGAAATACTTTTGAAAAAAACAAACCAACTAGACTTTTCTAAGATTAAGAAAGTTTTGGTTCATGTATTTTTTATTATCAATTTTTAATTATTCACTAATACATTCATTCACTCATTCATTCATTCATTTTATGGTGGGGGAATCAATCCCAAGTCTTCATGTAAGCTAGACAAGCACTCTACTACTGAGTTACACTCCCAAACCCATGGTTGATCTTTATACAAAAAAAAAAAAAATAGATAATGGTGTGTTTCAAATCATGACAAAATTTATATTCCAACAGATATATTTAAAAGGACAATATAAAGATGAATTTTAATACGCCAACATTTACGATGTGCTAGAAGTTACATCATTTACAACTATTTAAATATCTGATGAAAAATGTCAGGTAATATGTAGTTTTTCAAATTATTTTAGGTCATGTTTTAGAAGTTGTAGGATGGCTTGGGAGGCTGAGACAGGAGGACTATGAGTTGAAAGCCAGCCTTTGCAACTTATCAAGGCCCTAAGTAACTTATTGAGACCCTGTCTCTAAATAAAAATATTAAGAAGTCTGGAGATGTGGCTCAGTGGTTTAGACCTTAGTTCAATCTTCCCCACCAAAAAAAAAATAATAATAATAAGATAGTATAATAGTATAATTTGTATGAACAACAATAATTTGAAAAACAATTTATAAACCAAAATACACATATTTTGTATTTTCTTGTGTTAAATCATCTCTACCTGAGCAGTCCTTTAACATATCCCAAACAAAGCTGGTGACCTATTACCTGTATGTATAAAGGATGAATTTTTTAAATTAATTTTTTATTTGTTTTAATTAGGTACACATGACAATTGAATGCATTTATGCACTTTGATATATCATATATAGATGGGATATAATTTCTCATTTTTCTGGGTGTACATTTAGTAGAATCACATTGGTCATGCAGTCACATATATACATAAAGTAATAATGTCTGTTCATTCTATCTTTCCTATCCCCACATTCCCTCCCTTCCCCTCTCTTCACGTCCCTCTACCTAATCTAAGGTAACTCTATTGTTCTCTAGTGCCCCCTGCCTTATTGTGAATTAGATCCTCATATTAGAAAAAACATTCAGTCTTTGGTTTTCTGGGATTGGCTTATTTTGCTCAGCATGATATTCAGACATTTGTAGTTCCCCACACTTTCCTGCATTCTCAATCTGCTTAAATATAAGATATAAATACTTAAGGTCAAAGGATATGCCTCTACCTGAGAATATTTCAAGTAGACACCTCATTTTTTTCTTTAAAGGAATGAAAAGTCTAATTGGGAAATTTCAGGAATTAGTCACATAAATGGAATTTCTACACCCATATCTTTGCTCATATCAGTGAATTACAATTATGTTATTTCTACAGCTCAAAAGAAAATGCTTAAAATTATTGTCGACCTTTCTTTTCCCAAGACTCTATATCCAATCTCATCTGAAATACTGTTGGTTCAACCTCTAAAATATCTATGTTGCCCACACCTTCACTGTTATCATCAGGCCTAAGCCATCCTCTTTCAAGTTGATTTCTACAAGATTTTCCTGACAAGTCTTCCTGCTTTTATCCTGGTCCCCTAACAGTGTATTCTTAGTATGGAAGTCAATTATTCAGCCATTAAAGTTCAATGCTGCCACTTTTCTCTTTCTGTTGCATTCAGAATAAAAGCCAGTTTTTAAATAGCTTGGAAGACTCCTGCTATCCATGAAGGATATATTCCAAGTCCCCAGTGGATGTCTGCAACTATGGATAATACTAAACCCTATATATACTAGGTTTTTTCTATACATACATTCAACCACTGGTAAAGTTTGATCTTTTTACTTAAAATACAGCCTTTATGGCTTCTCTTAGGTATGTTCAAATTGCCAATATTACTATTTTTGTGCTTTTGGGGCATTATTAAGTAAAATAAAGATGAGTAGAAMACAGATACCATGACAGACAATCTGATAATTTTCCACTTAATATTTTTGGAAAACAGTTGACCATGTGTAATTGAAACCACAGGTAATGAGGGGATGCTGTACCTTCCCCTATTATATTACTCTTCTCCATTCTTATTCGGCTTTATCTACAGCACACTCCCAAAGTCTTAGGGCTTCGCTTTACATTTTTCTGTCTGGAAGAGTTCCACAGGAAACCATGACTTTTCCATCCCCTTCAAAATGTTGCTAAATAACTTCCCAAAGAAGATCACATTGCTACCCTACAAATATTACAACCTGTTTCACTCTTACCCTTACTTATTCTTACCTGTATCCACCTGCTAGAAATTAACTTTGAAGACAGCAGGGATTGTTTTTTGTGTGTTTTATTTACTGATATACCTCAAGCACTTTATACAGTGCCTGACACATAACATAGCTCAAAATTAAATAAATATTTATTGGCAATATAAATGTGTACAAGATATTGCATAGTTTGGAGGAAAAGTAACTTACCTGACAAAATAATGGAAAGTGCAATGACACTTGCAATTAGGACTGAGATAATGAAAAAGCATAAATAAATTTTGATAGGAGTTACAGGATATATAACTGATAGAAGTTTTCCTTGAAGACTTTTAGCTGCAAAACATAAATACCAAATACAATCTCATGAAACTCTTAGGGAGGAAGAAAATTGATTAGACACAGAATCAACTCCAAGTTTAGTTTATACTCTCCTAGTGCAAGTCTGTTCTACAAAAGATCCTGTCCATCAATAATATCCAGAGGGCTAAAGACAAGGGAAATGGAACTTTTTCTCTATAGGATTTTTCAATTTTTGGAATAAGAGACAATGAAAGTTAAGACAAATCAGGAAGAAGAAGAGACATATAAACAATCCAGATTTGCCTCCATAATAAATAACCTGGCTAGAAGTACTAAGGGATACATTACAAGATAAATAAAAGTAATTCATCTTTTTTTCTATTTAAAAGGCTAGATTTATTTTTTTAAAGAGAAGTGTTTTTTTTTCACATGCCCTTTAAGTAAAACAACTTATGGCCTAACTTCTTTTTAAATTTTTTTTATCTGTTCTTTTTAGTTATACATGACAGTAGAATGTATTTTAACATATCCTATATACATGGAGTAGAACTTCCCATTGTTGTGGTTGTACGTGATGTGGAGTTACAGCAATCATGAACATAGGAAAGTTATAGCAAATGCATTCTACTCTCTTTCCCATTTCCATCTCTCCTTTCTTCCCACCATTCCTCTCTGTCCAACTTGGTGAACTTCCACTCCCCACCACTGCCTATGTCTCTATATATCAGAGAGAACATTTGGACTTTGGTCTTTGGGGATTAACATGAGAGTCTTCAGTTCCCTCCATTTTCCAGAAAATGCCATATTTTTATTCTTCTTTATGGCTGAGTAATATTCCATCATATTAAATATACCATATTTTCTTTATCCATCCATCTGTTGAAGGGCACCTAGGTTGGTTTCATAGCTTAGCTATTGTGAATTGAGCTGATCTGAATATTGATGTGTCCCTCATCACTATAGTATGATGATTTTAAGTCCTTTGGATATATTCTAAGGAGTAGTGGTTCCATTCCAAGTTTCCTGAGGAACCTCCATACTACTTTCAGAGTGGTTGCACCAGTTTGCAGTTCCACCAGGAATGTCTCTTTTCCCCACATCCTTGGCAACTTTGATTGTTACTCGTATTCTGGATAATTGCCATTCTGACTGGATGTAATGTAGCATTTTAACAGAATAAGAAAAGAGAGGACACAGGAGCATCCCAAGAAATGCAGCAAAAACATGAGAAAATTTTTACTCTTTTTAATTTTTWAAAAAAATACAACAAAATATTTAATGAGCAAAATTGTCTTAGCAAATATGAAACTGCCCCAGAGAGGAAGAGAGGGACAGGGGCCTGGGGATTGTGCGGGTGGGAGCCTCTTGGGGAAGGCCAAAGAGAACCAACTAAGAAACAAGGAAAGACAGAGCTGGGACCAGGGAGGAACAGAGGAGGGGGCTGTGGTCCTGCAAAGGGGAGAGGGCAGGGCACTAAGGGCCAGTCAACAAAATCCAAAGTAATTTGGCCATGAAATATAAACACAGTGTGATCCTACTATGGGGAGGAGAAAGGGGTCTAAGGTGAGGGAGGCTGTTTTGGGAGAGGCCCTGGGGGTCCTACCTGCCCTGCTGTGGGCCCCTCTCCATCCCAACCCCCTCCCTCTGTGTCTGTGTGGTGCTTGTCTGTGTGGGCCTGTGTGCACTTCAGTCCCTTCCCTTCCCTAACCTCTCACCCCTCCACCCCCCACACTTAATTGCTGCCATTCCAGGTGCTGCTGGCTGTCAGGCTGTCATTTCCCTGTCACTTCTCTGCCCATCATCTTCAGAGGGGGAGGGAGAGGGGGACAGGTGGAGAGAGAAGCCTCCAACCAGCCCTGCCCCCACCCTCCCCAGGCCACCTCTACCATAAATCTTGCTGGTGGTAAGAGTCAGGGTCACAATATTTTGTGACAACCTGACTGTTGGCAGATTTGAGAAAGTCCTGCATGGCTTTCTGGCAGTCACACAGAGGTGAGCTCCACAATAATCCTGCTGCAGCCAGCACCCACCTGGACACCATATGTATCCAGGGGATCCSGATAGACATGAGGAGCTGCACTTGCTGCACTCATCCCGCAGGTCTCCCATGATCTCCCCTACTCCTCGTCCACCAGGCGCGCCTCTGGCAGCACCATGTTCAGGAGGCACAGGACCTCAGTAGGGTGGCCGCCCATCTGCACCTGGGAGCTCATCAGGCCCCGAACCTGCAGCACCACCGGTGTCTGGTTGATGGTGCTCAGCATGGCCCTCTGCAAGAGCAGCATTTTATCCCTGCAGCTGTATCCCATTCAGCCTGGTATGTGACCATGACCTCAAGGAATCAGCAAAATGCTATTAGATGTAATAAATGAAATTTATTACATTGTATCCAAAACTGTAGGATGTAATGCTAATCTTTAAAAATCATTTCAATTTTCRTATACTAGCAATTTTCAAATGCAAATTAAAATACAAAATCAGTTCGATTTGTAGTGACACCAGTTAAGATAAATACTTAATTGTAATCCTATCAAAATATGTTCATAATCAGTATAATAAAGACTATATTGAAAAACAATAAATAGCTCAAAGAAGATCTAAATCAAGAAAGAAATAAAAGATGTTCATAGATTGGAATATTCAACTCATGGRTGGAATATTCAAACTATTTCCAAACAGGTTTATAATCCAGTGCAATTCCAGTAAACACTTCAGCATGATTTACTTTATTTTTTGTAGAAATCAAGAAGGTCACTTTTTAATTATGTGAAAAGGTAAAAGAACCAATAGCCAAATTATTTTGAAAGAAAAAAGATCAAATTTGGAGAAATAAGAGTACTAGATTTCATGACTTACAAAGTAACAACAATAAAGACAATATCATAGTGGTAAATAAACATATAAAATATGCTTGATGTTAAGACTTTTGAGAAATGCTTGATGAAAGACCTTTGAGAATCACCATATGATTCTCAGAGTGGCAAACAAAACTAAACAAAGTCACAACAGCAAATGTTGGTGAAGAACAGATGCAAATGGAATGTCCTTCTACTGTGTTTAGAAAGGCAAAATGGTAAACATACATTTGCCATATGCCCTGTGCAGCTTGCCCCTAGGTATTCTACACAAGGGGAACAAACTTGACTTTACATAAAAACCTATACATAAATATTTATTGAAGTTTTATTATTTTATTGATAATCATTAAAAACTGAAAAATTTGCAATGATTCAAATATTTTTCAGCTGCAGAGAGATTAAAAAAATCACCAGGATTTATGGGGAAAAAATGAGAAAAAGTTAAAAATAAAGGGGAGGGGGGTATGAAAAAGCAAAGCAAAGAAAAAAAAACCACTTTATTACAACCTTGTACAGACTTGACCAAATCTATGTCATGTTTCAAGTATCTTTTCCAGAGGCTCCTAAAGTCAGACTTGCTCAAGAGATTAAACAAGCACCAGAGCCGCAATGTGCAAAATCCTTTACAAGCTCACTTGGATGATCTTAACTACAAAGCTGCTCTCTCGCTCTCTCACTCACATATTTTTTGCTAACATTTTCTAACCTCTTTTATAAAACCAATGCCTCTTCCTGTTTGATTTTTGAGACACTGCATGTTTTGAAATTGGAGTATTATTCCTGTATCATTGGTCCTTTTGAATTAAGTCTCTCCTTTTCTAAATCCAAATTTGTTTGTAGATGACAAACTATCCATCCATACCATAGTGTGGATCAATTTCAAATGCATTACTACAGACTCTACTGCAGGATTCTATTTATGCAACATTCTGGAAAAGCAAACAGAAAACAGACCAGCAGTTGGTAAGGGCTGGGAGCAGAGGAGGGGAATGTCTCTAAAGGGGCCTGAGGGGATTGGGAGTGGGTTATGGATCTTTACCTTGATTGTGACAGTGACTTCATGATTATATGTGTTTGTCAAAACTCAAAATCCATACACCAAAAAAGTTAGTTTTACTGAATAAAAGTTATGTTTTTAGGAAAGTTCCTGATGAGTTCTGTTTCTCTATTACATTATACTCATTCTGCAAACAACTCCAAAGAAACCAGGGAGCCTCAGCTTAAACCATACACAAGAACAAAGATATGTAGGATATCTGATTTTAAGCATGGTGTTATGTCATTTGGATTTTGGCTTGACATAACAATCTCAAAATTCATTATTTTTAGTTCTATAGTAAAAGTATCTTAACAACTCAGTGCATCCTAATTTTAGTATATTTTTCATTGTCATTAAGATAGTATAAAAATTTCCTTTGAATTTCTGTAAAACTCCTACTTGCTCCTCTGACTAGTCTTCTAAGAGTTTCTCCTTTCTCTTATCCTTTTCCTTGTAATGTATCTCTTCTTGCTTTTTTTTACTTACTTTTTTGACATAAAAAAACCTCAAGCATATACAAAAAGAAAAAAAATACAATAAGTGCCTAAGTATCTATTACCTTTTCAACAATTTTCAAAATTATCAACATATAAGCAATCTTGTTTCATATGCATTTCTTATTCACCCCATCATCCCCCCACACACATAGTCCTTGAATTAATTTAATGCAACTCATTCAAATTTGAAAGGAATGGAGTTGATTATGACTGATGGCTTTTGCATTGTGTTTAAATATTCTCTCCAACTCCAAGAAAGTAATACTGGCTCTTAATTTTTTTTTTCTATCTGGTCCCTGTATGAACTTTTTCTTTGGTTGTAATCTAAAGAGTTTAAAGTCTATTATTTTAAAATATAAAACTTCCATGATATTACACATATGTTCAAAGCCTTGCAGTGTTTGTCTTCCTGGGCCTGACATTTCACATAAAATAATGTTTTCTAGGTTCCTCTATGTTGTCACCAATTACATTATTTCATCCTTTTTGTTGGTGCATAGTAATCCATTGTGTATATGTCACATTTTCTTTAACAGTTCATCCCTTGATGCATGTTTAAGCTGATTCCATATCTGGGCTATTGTGAATAATGCTGAAATAACTTTGAAATGCTCATGTCTCTTTTTTTAATTTTTTTTTTATTATTATTGGTCGTTCAAAACATTACATAGTTCTTAATACATCAGGGAAAGGGAGTGAGAAGGGAAATCGCATGGAAATGGAAGGCGATCCTCAGGGTTATACAAAATGACATATAAGAGGAAAGGAGGGCTCATGTCTCTTACCAGAGACTGGGGAGAGTGGTGGGAAGAAGATGGAAAATGTACAGTGTTACAGATAGGAGGAAGAACTGCTGGTGTTCAATGGCATAGCAGAGGGGATATAGTTAACAAAAACACAGTATATGTCTCAGTAGCTAGAAGAGAGAACTTTTAATATATTCATCACAAAGAACACAAAAGTTTAAAGTGATGGATATGCTAATTGTGCTGACTTTATTATTACCAATGTATACAAGAATTAAACAACACAGTGTACCTTATAAGTGCATATAATTATTATGGATCAATCAAAAAGCTAAAAGTCAAAAAGCTGGAGACTTTGAGGGTAATGCTAAAAAACAGGTACCTAAAATGTCTTCTAACAGATATTTCAAATATCCAATAGGACTCAACACTAGAACTTTCTTACATATTACTAACAGCTGGAAAGATACTTATTTATGATACTTGGCATTTATTCCATTTGATGTTCATATTTGACATTGAATTTTTACTTTTAATTAATGCATAGTAATTGTAAATATTTATTTTTCTTTTACCTTCCTTATACTGTGTACTTTTCTTATCTCTTCTCAAGAGATACTTTGTACCTGATAATCTTCAAATTCTTAGAAAACAGAATAGAATTCATCTCTCAGAGGAAAAAATGAACCATATTACTGGTTTAATTTTAATTTTATAGTTTTATGATCCAAACAACTTACTTGGCTTATAAAAGCAGTTAAGTTTTAGTAATGAGGAAATTACAAACTAGTAGCAATTTTGTAACATTTGTATTTAGAAACATAAGTTTCACATTTGAAATAGTTAATACTGGTCAACATTTGACCAATTTGATGGTTGATGAAATACTAAGTTCTCCTTATGGAAACACTTATGGGCTTAGCTGATAAACATTAATATTCCTCAAGAATTTTCTTTTTTGTTAAGTTTGAACCCACCTCATTTTCCAGGAAATCCAAAATCCTGTGCACTCAAACAAAAGAAGAAAATAAACTGATAAACTAACAGGGGGGAAGGGAATACATATGTTTAGTTCATTTTCTTCTTTTAGAAAAACAGGTATTTCACTTCATTTTTTGCTAGGTTCACTTCCCTTTTTCTGGACTGCAATAGAAGTATCCATTATGTTGTTCTTCTTTCTCATATAACATCTCATATATTTTACCATAAAGTGAAAATGACAAAGGATTTGCTGATGGAACAGTTCAGATTCCCTCCCTCACTCTGAAATCCCTACATTTCTCTTTAATTACAAAGGATCAGCAAACTTAATGTCCCAGCTTTCGAAGGGTAAATTGTCTTGGTAAATGTATTACAGTCATTGGCATTGGAGTCTGCCATCACCCTGGGATATAAAGAGCATATTACTGAAAGTCACAGTGTGACTTAACAGTGTGTAAATTGCCAGAGACATAGGCAAAGGTGAGTACTAGAGGTCTGAACACAAGGAACAGTTTCCTCCTCCTCTTGTAATCAACTTCACTCTTCATTTATCTTGCTTCAGAAATATTTAAGTAACATATACCATGATACAATAACCAATGTAACAATTCTATATCTATCCTCCCACCTACCCTGTCCCTCCTGCAACATATCACCTTCTATGGAGTCTGTAAAGTACTAACATGCCTGAAGTTCAGCTCCCTTTGTGATTTGGAGGCTGGAGAGTAAAAATATCCCCTTCAGTATTTTTCAAATGTCATCTTTTACTTTACCAGGTCCTGCTTTCTCCAGGCCATCCGTGAATCTAAGGTCTGTCTTTAACATTTCCACTGAAGCCTCTGCAGCTGTCATCTTGGTGCTCAGACAGGGGAGGAGATCTCTAGTGATCTCTTGGTGAAGAAGGTATGCTGGTGGAGCACAGCTGCTCAGAGCAGGAACTGAAGAGCACTGTGAAACCGATACCCCGCCCTGGGAGGGACTTTGAAACGACTTATTCAAGCAAATTATCAGAATGATTTACTAACTGACAAGTTTCTGGCTCTGAGAGAAGGAACATTTCAAAAGAGAGGAACTAGGGAAGCAAATTAAGAGGAATATAAACAAAATAAGTTAAACTGATGAATGCTTTAAGATTTTAAAATGCTTTTTTAACTTTTCTAAAATGTTTTTTTTTAATTTTTATTTGTTTATTTATTTTAACTTCAGAGACCTCTCTCCTTCCAAGATGAAATAAAAAGGGCCAGTTTTAATCTTCTGAAATCAGCTTTTAGAGAAAGGATAAAATGTATCTAAATATCCTTTCAAGCTCAGGTATCATGCAATCAAGGAAGTGATCTTCAGGGACAGGGGGAATAGGTAAGCCTAAGGTGTCCAAGTCACTCATCCTGACCTTTCTCTTGGTCCACACTCCTGCTACAGGTCTCTGCCCTCTGGGCTGAGCCTGCCAGTCTCACCAGCACTCCGTGGTGGGTTTGCTTTCGGTTTCCATATTTTTGTGTTTCATGTCTCTGGATGAGGAGAAAACCCTGGAAACTGGAAAACAGGGAGGCAAGGCTGTGTAGGCTGGCCAAGGACACTTAACCCTCCTCTGTCTGGCAGCTCCTGTTCCTAGATCTGCTGGACCCCCTAACCCTGTGATGAGGAATGGTGGAGGGACACCCCTGTCCCAATTTGGGGGCAGACCCTGGGGAATCAGGGAAACCAAGCAGAGGCTTAGATCCAGGCCAGATTTCTGAACTGGGAGCAGAGAAAAATGTGTATGTGGAGCACAAGGGATTACATTTTAGACGGTGAAACTATTCATCTAAAGGAGGAAAATTTTATTTTAGCTTAGGTTTTCAGAGGTTCAGTCTGTGGTCACTTACCGCCGTGACTGTGGGCCTTTGATGAAGCCAGACTGCTGGTGGAGCACAGCTACTCATCTTGAGACTGAGAGAGTGAGCCACCAACAGTCATCTCTTCTGTGGTTTTACCCACTTGTTTATATTATTAACCAATCACTGACCCGATGAGGTCAGAGCCCTCATGATCCAATCACTTCCTGGACTCTGAAAATTACTGCCCTGGGGACAATTTGACACAGGAGCCTATCTATATCCAAACTGTAACACTACTCTAAAATAAAGTCTATTACACTTTTAAAAAAGAAAGAAAAGCAGATGTCTTTCAGTGAGTTGTTTTCAGCCTTGTGACATAGGAACCTCTAATCATCTTCCACTTTGTAGTTTGCTGCTGCTTGTAAATAGAAAGACAGATGTCCTCTGCCACGGGATACAGATTACAATTTCATTCAGTGGGAATGCACTGGTTTCTGTCACATTTCAGAAGTAGCACCTCAATGACTTGCTGTAATTTTTTATTCTCGTGGGAGGTGAAGGAAAGTAAATATGATGTTAAAAATTAAATTTATTAGTTTATTCCCTATGAAATATTTTACTATTTATATGTATGTATAATATTAATTTTATCCAATAGTTGAACTCATTAGCTACTTGGAACATAGACTTTTGTTCCCGTTTTTAATTTTAAAAAATGGTATTTAGCTATTCGTTCCTCTCCTGATTGTTTTTGGAAATGGGAAAGATACTTTTCATTATATAATACATATAAATATACCTGTTTAATTATTGCATATTAGGGATTTTTCACTTTTTTGAGTAAGAATTTTTTTCAGAAATAAGAAAACTCACCCATTTCTCTATAAAAATAATGAAATTCTATAGGTATACCTAGTATAGCATGCCTTTTATAAAGAAAAGTGGCTATGGGAACTGACTTTGAGTGCATAACAATAGTTTAAAATCAACCTTTTTTGTTTTGTCTTTTTTGAAACTCCAGAAGACTGGCATAAAGGATCTGACTGCAGGCCTTGCATGTTGACTAYACTTCTCAGGAACATCATCAGGGAAGGCAGTTTTAATCAATGCCTATTTTATAAATTCAGAAAAAAATTATTTCATGGGCATAGCAATATTAATTCCTGGAGCTGCATTCAGAATTCTCTTGTCCTCAGAAGAAAGGCAACGTTCTACCTCATGTATTATAATCTTTTGCTTATAAGGAGGAGGGTACATAAATGGCATGTGRTCACAGATTTTTTTATGACAGACCCACAAAATGTAAATGGATTTTGAGTGAAATAATTATTTGAAAAGGTTGTGGAAGCTGGCTCAAATCTGCTTTATTTCTTATGATCTAATCAAGTAAACAAATTGCAAACATATGTGTGAAAGGTGATATGTAAAGTGCTAGATGGTGAAATTAATAAAAAGGCCTACAAAAGAGTACATAAAAACTAAAATTTCTTTCATTGAATAAAAAAACATTTCTGGGATTTTATTGACCTGCCTATATAGTAGCATATCCAGAGTTACTGTGATAATTAGAGCCTCATCAGGGACTGGAGTTGTGGCTCACTGGTAGCAGCTCAGTGGTAGCATGCTTGTCTAGCATGTGTGAGGCACTGGGTTCGAATGTCAGCACCACATTAAGGAAAATAAACAAATAAAATAAAGGTATTAAATACATTTAAAAAAAGATCCTATCATAGAAATAACAATTTATTTATCTCTTTTTTTGCCTTAGAGTGATAGAGTTTGAAGTATAATCGTGGACCAGTGGCAACCCATAAAACTATATTACCAGTTAAAGATGAGTTAAATACAGAATTGAAAGTAAATAACAAGTTGACATTTTCATGATGTCTAAGCCTGTGGACTCACTTTACTGAACATGATATGAACTAACACAATACTATTTTAGTCAGTGGTGGATCACTATCGGCATGAGTTTCACATGAGGCATGAGCAGTAGGCCATACTAAAAAGTGTGATGCTCCATTCCATCTTTTATTTTTTTTTAATTTTTTTTTATTTTTTTTTGATGGTTGATTCAATTCTTTTTTTTTGTTTTTTCTTTTTTTTTATTGGTTGTTCACAACATTACAAAGCTCTTGACATATCATATTTCATACATTAGATTGAAGTGGGTTATGAACTCCCAATTTTACCCCAAATGCAGATTGCAGAATCACGTCGGTTACACATCCACAATTTTACATAATGCCCTATTAGTAATTGTTGTATTCTGCTACCTTTCTTATCCCCTACTATCCCCCCTTCCCTCCCCTCCCATCTTCTCTCTCTACCGCATCTACTGTAATTCATTTCTCTTCTTGTTTATTTTCCCATTCCCCTCACAACCTCTTATATGTAATTTTGTATAGCAATGAGAGTCTCCCTTCATTTCCATGCAATTTCCCTTTTCTCTCCCTTTCCCTCCCATCTCATGTCTCTGTTTAATGTTAATCTTTTCTTCCTGCTCTTCCTCCCTACTCTCTTCATAGTTGCTCTCATTATATCAAAGATTAATTTTTTTTAAATTCCTGACATTACAGCACTAAACTGAAATATGTTAATAGTCCACTCTTACATTTCCATGACAAACAGAAAAATTCATGAGCCAAAAAAAAGGAGAAGCTTATAAAACTAAATATACATCTCAGCATTGATGGCAGAACAGAGAAAAGAATTAAAATGCTTTAACTTAAAAATCACAAGTGAATGATAAAGTGTGTAGAAACTGAAAATTTACAAATTATTTACAACCTGGAATCGTTGACTGTCCAGAAACTACACAGATGGATCATGGTGAACAACAGAAAGGGATTACGGATGAATCTGCATTATTCTAGCTGCTCCTCATGCCACTCATCTCCAAGGAAAGCCTGACATTGTTTAGATACTGAGCCAAGATAATACTGGCAGCAAATCCAGGGATGGTAACTTGCCTATCAGTAGATCCTTCCACGGGGTTTGCAATTTTGATCTGCGCCCCATACATCTGATGGATCTCACCTTGATGACCGATTATGCAGCTGATCAAGTTGTTTGGAATGGTGAGTTCATGAGAAGTAGTCTGAGCAGATGCATACAAACCTGCCCATAGCCTTTCACCTCAGAGAGCTGGGTCCAATGCCACTGAATCCAGTGTTGTCATGCGTCATAGGAAAATGAGACTGTTGCACTGCCAACTGGTGCAGCGTGGTCAAATCTGGCTGTGGAGTATACCATCCTTGAATAATACAGGCCTGATCACCGGCAAAGATGATGGGAGAATTTAAGGGCTTGGGCCAATAGAAGACGGTCACGTCCTTTGGGGCGGGGACAGGGAGAGAGTCTCCAATGTGACATTGCAGATCTGTTTTGACACACTCAATAATGGATTGAGGAATACCAGCAGTAGAGATGGCCGGTTCAGATGAATTGGGGAGCATATCCCCTGCCACCTGGACTTGAGTCCCTGTACACTCTCATAATTTCCTTAATCTTTTCCCATGAGAGAGCCACACTGACTTGCAGGGCCTCAGAGTGATAGGGGTTCAACTGGCAGCTGTGCTATTGGTCAGAGAGCTGTTGATGTCCCTTCTGGTTTGTCCACCATCATAGCAAAGGCTGTGAAGATGGTATTAGTGGGTCCAGCCAAAGTGATAATTCTCCCAGGACAATTCCCTTCTGAGATGTTGATATGGGCATCACTCTCCTCGTCCATCTTCCTAACTGATTCTGCTTTCTTTCCCATGAGACTGCCAGCTTCCTTTCCAGGCATAAGTACCCAATGGTGAGAGTGACATTGAATCCACCTTCAGTCACACTGGTGAGCAGC